GGCACCCCCCCCCCCGGGTGTGGCTAGATCACTTATACGGGCTTTGTTCCTGGGGATCAGCACGCCTGCCTAGCATGGCCTGATCAGGGCAATCCCTCTCTCCCCCCCGCACACCTTCTCTTTTTTTATATAGACGCATCGACATCGTTCATAATTTTATTTACTGTGAAACCTTATTTGCTTTGTTGTTGTTTTTCCTGGAAGCTTCCACTAAATACCATTGTATATAGTTACTGTATGTTTGTCTTGACTGTTTACCATTGTATACCATGTTACTGTATGTTTGTATTGATTGTTTAACTGAAATTAGTAAAGTTATATTATTTGTAAATCCATTGATCTGAGTATTGTAACCCTATACCGCCTAAATGAATCCAATTCTCTTATATTTGGTAAGTCCTGAGGAGAATAATCAGTTTTTCTAAAATGCCCTTTAATTGGTGTGGGTGCTCCTCTGCTATGGATTGAGACAGTAGGACATAATTACTTGGTTATTTTGAAAATGTTTAAGCTCAGCCAAAGCCAGGCAGAACTGAAGACCTTGTTGGGTGAACATCATCCAGTTCAACATCAACAGGTAAGTCTAACATTAACTCTTATGAAAGCTTGGGAAGCATGCTTATATATTACCATAAAATAAGTGGATAACTTTAAATAAGGATATTGAAAGAACTCCATCTCCCTTCAGTCATTAATACATAGAAATGCTACATTTAAAGAAGTGTCTTTGTTATAGTTCATATAGCTCAGTCTCTTGAGGTCACTCTCTACCATAGAAATCAGAGAAAGAACATAGACTATTTCTCACTTTAAGCTGGGGCATGAATTCCTCTGTAAAAATACTGATCCTGCACTTAATAGCAAGAAATCACCTCTTAAACAAACATGCAAGAACACTTAACTTATGTTATCTTAAATGTCTAACTCAGTAATTTTTAATGACAGTGTCAAACTAGCAGTGCATATGCTGAGCATTTTTTAAGTTGAAGTGGTTTGTCTTCTGGATAAAAAAGATAATTATTGGAACATGTAAGAGATGAATGAACACCTTGTATATTCCTCAACTGAGGGGTATACATTGCTCCACAAAAGAGCTGTGAGAATAATTGTGTATTTATTAACCAATCACCTCCATTTTCTTTCTCTGATTTATTTTAATTCCATTACATAAGTATTTACATCTTGCAAACTCAGCATGAAAACACAAAAATCACAGGAGCCCAGCTACTGTGATCTGCAAAAACAGGAATTATTCCAGCTAAAAACATTGGCTTATAGATTTCTAGAAGGTTGCCTTGCACTAATGATAAATAACAGCCTTTGTACAAGCCAAAGTTGCAAGCCTTGTGTGAACAGACAAGTGAGAAAGTTACCACTTGACATAAGAAATACTGTCCTGAATACTGGGGAACACAACCAGACAGTATTTATTTAGGCTGTGGCTATATTAGTGGTTATCTCATCTGGGACCATCCCATCTACAGCTTGGACAGGGCAGATTATCAGCCCTCCTTTTAAATCACTGCCTACTTTGAGCTAGGATTGTCTCCAACTCTGGTACTTGCTGAAAGAGGCTAAAATCGTGCTGTAGAGGAGCTTCAGCTGAACTCCCCAGTTTCCTTCTGGGATGACTTCCCCCTCCAAACTGGAATTGAAAGTAGTTACAAGGGAGACAAACCCCATGTGGTACAAATAGCTTTAACAAATACCTGCCCCAAAGTAACACTAGAAGTTAAGTTGAACTCCTCTTGCCCTCCCCAAGGTCAACTTCCCAAATGGTCAGTGTTTTCTATCTTGACATCAATCAAGATCCTTTTGTTTAACAGGGTTTCCCTAGCTACCTCCAAATGATGGACATTTTATTTGCTAATTTATCTGATGGTGTCATTAAAAATTAGTTAGACAACAAGAGCTTTCACTTCTTTTTAAAGGGATAAATGACAAGTGGTTCCTGTCCCTAATGCTTCATTCATCTTGCAGCTGTCTTGAACAACAAAGACCTCACAGCTGCATGCTTTAATAATGATATATGGTATTTCAGACTAGCCTTGGTTCTCCCACTTCAGCAGTCTCTCTTCCACTATTTTACATAAGGGATTTGTAGGCGGAGAACAGAATAGACACAGACTAGAACAAAGAAGGGAACCATTATCTGAACCTGGAGGGGTCTTGTGCAGATGATACTTCAGCTGCTTTTGTCCCCACCTTTTTCCAGCTATTTGCAAAACCAGCTTCAACTCTAGTTTCTTTACCATTTCCATTTACGAAGTCATCAAATTGTTTCTTCTATTAGTGTTTTCCTAACTAAAGAGTAAAGAGCATATACTACCAAAAAACACATGTGCCTTTGCAATGAGAGATGGCCACCTGTGTATGGAGGAAATGCCCAATGGTGAACACACATAAATATAGCTTCTATCACAGTTACACCTAGTCCTGAAGAAATGTCACTTTGGTACATTTACATAAATTGACTTCTGCCACAGAGGCTTCATTGCATGTTTCCAGTACCATCAGTAGCAAGCTTAACCCATTAAGTCCTATCCCTGATATAATCCCACTTCACCGAGGAAGCATCAGTAATTAACACACCAAGACACATGATGATCTGAAATTTCTTTCTCTTGAGGATTTCCTCCCCCTCCCCCCCCCACCATGGGAAGAAAGAGTGGGCTGGCACATAGCCACCACATTTGGCAAGCCTGCACTATTTTAGTGAGTCTTCTCATGTTATGTACAGCAATGCCTTTTGCAGTTCTTCAACTCAGAATGTCCAAAAACAACCAGGTAAGACATTCGATCTTCCCCTCATTCCCACTGTACAAGTTTGAAATTGGTATTTCTGTGAAAACTCTTAACTGATGAACCTTTAAGCGCTTAATAAAGACCTACAGACTATAGTGTCATACTAAAGCCTTGCTGCTACTCTGAAGTTGTTCATACTAAATTTATCCTCATCTTTAACATGCACCTGTAAATACAAAGCAACTACCTCCTTTAACAAAGTCAAAACAAGCTGTGAACCAAAGTTCAGAGGTGTAACTACACCTGACCAGGCTCCTCACCACTCCCAGCATCACGCTTCAAATTCTGCCCATCTCAGTCAGAGTAATTTGGAGAATAAGTCAGTCTCCTGCAGGGCCTCTGCCTTGTTCTTACCTTGAAATCACTCAACTTCCCATAAATCAAAAACATTCAACAAAACTCTACAAAACTTAACGAGATGGGCTGATGTTAGCTGGGGATGGAAGGAAGGAGAGCCCCTTGAGAATTACACAGAAAAGGATTTTTAGGAGGTTATCCGCACCTTACCTGGAGATTCTTGTTGGAATCTTCTGAGAAGTCTCTGTTTTCTTTGATCTGTGGTACATCACTGCCTTTTTTTGTGAGCTCATTTATCCTTTCTTCACATTGTTCTTTTAATTCTTTCATCTGATTGATGCATTGTGACCTGGAGGAAACACAAAAAAGTTAGCAGTCATTACTTTTATCCACATCTGTAAAATAAAGAGAAACACTGTTCTAAAAAGTTTCCATAATCTGGCTTATTCCTTTCCTGCACTTAAGCTTGAAAAGACAGTAGAGAAATGGGGGTGTTAACCTATATCCTAAGAACAAACCTAATATGCAGGTGGTCCAAGTTCCACTGGAAGAAATTGATTTAAAGTGCTTTTGTCAGATCAGCTCAACAAGCTATGTGAGTTTTCTTGTCTTATATTAACTGTCTTATATTAACCAGTTCATTTAAATTAAGTCAAAAATTAATTTTGACCCTTGAAACATTTCTGGCATGAGAACAGATATATGGATTTTGATTTTATACAGGAAGAAGAAACAGGAAGGTACTAGTTCAAAGATGTTTTTATGGTAAATAGACGCAAGTTACTGTTAGCAAACTAAACACCCTTTCTCAATATTTTACCAAAGTGCAGTGTTGCAAGATGTAACAGAAATAGAGTTCTTCAGTGGCTATTACAAGCTCCAATAGGGATATTTTCTAAAGATTCAAGTGTTTAATATTTTATATACTTTACTACTGTTGCACAGTGCCATAATTGCCTTAAGCTTCATAAAGCTAAGGGTCTTCCATCTGCAGTTCTGTAGCCTGCCTTTCACTCACAGCTCTGTAGCCTTTCCCCTCAGCTGTCCTAGGAGTGCTTTTCCTGAAACTGTAATGGCAATATTTCCCCTTTTTGTTCTCATGCTGCTGTTCTTATGCCATTATTCTCACAGCCTTGCACCTGCAAACCCCAATAGTGTTGTCATGTTGGGTTTTTCATGGGAAGTGACTGCCATCAGTGTGAGATCATCCCTTCTTCCCCACCTTCTTCCTACTCTGTTTTTTAGCTTTCAGTTTGTATTGGAGGAAAAGCAAGACTTAGCAAATAAAGTAGATAAGCACTACCCAGTAATACCTATGCACAATGCTCAGCAACCAGTCAGCATACAACCCTATGTATGCTTTGATCCCATATGAACGGGAACAACCAGTAGTGGGTTTGAGTGGGTCCCAATGAGAAGTACATAATGCTAGGGAAAAGCATGGCGAAAAATCATCATCATCGTCATTGTTGTCGTCAGCCCCTACCACGCTGAAGAACATGCCTGGGGAGGAGGCTTGGCTGGAGACCACATTGCTTCTCTTCCCGGCTGGCTGCTGTGGCAAAGGTTCCCCCCTCCCTTTTTCTTTCTTTCTCTCCCTCTCTTGTTGTTGGTTTTTTGTTTTTTTTTTTGTTTTTTTCTCTCCTCAAAGGTAACACTGAATACAGGGTATGCCATCAGCTGTAGACCCCACAAACACATCTTTGCACATGGAAAACCTCTCTCCACATTGGTTGTACAACAACATAGTTACATGTTGCAATTTTTATCCCCCCTTACTGAGGAAGAGGGATGAATTTCTGAGCCTGGCTCTGGCAGAGCATTAATTCCACCTGTGTAACAATAGCTGGTTCAGACAAGCATGTTCCAGTTTCTCAAACTGCAAATAATGTACTACATAATCCAGAGGAATTCTCAGGGCATGTGCCCTCTAAGGCAGCAAGTCACTCATTTGTACTGCATTATCATTCTTCCCCACCCTTCCTTTTTAAAAGCAAAAAAATTTGCTCTGTAGTTCACATCTAGAAAGGAAAAGGAGCAGTTGATAGATGTGCTATCAGCTGACAAATTAGTTACCTTTATTACTGTTTCTTCCATTTCATACCCTTACTACACACTATTTTAATACGTGGTTTTGCTAACACTAAAACATGGAAGAGTCATCAAAATAAGCAGTGCATCATAACTTGGTGAACATCAGAGACTATAAAACAAAGACTTGAGTTATGCACACATTCATTAATTTCTTGGATATCAAGATTAGAATTACCTGCACCTCAGTTTGGGAGCTGGAGAGAGAGGCAATAAATTGCAAAGCTAAGGTTGGAGAGAGCAAACATTTACAAATGCTCTTTCATCCCATACTGCACATGAAAACAAAGTTCACATAACACATGTGACATTCTCTTCATTTTGATTTTATTAGCTATGAAGGAATTTCCTTCTTGCAAAACAGGAATTCTGGAGATAAAGATACTCTATTCATGCATACAACAACCTGAAGCATAAGAACAGCGCTAGTTTCTCCACGTTATCCCATCAATGTGACATACTTCAAACATGCAAAACTAGTACTCTTAAAATTCAGTCTCTGTGGCTTGTTTTCTCTTTCACAAGATTAAATAATGAGAAATAGAGTAACTTTGCCTGTCAGGAGCATGTATCATCAACTCCTTTTACATATGTCAAAAAGGTGATTCTTTCACTCGCACTCTTACACTTATCAGGGCTGCAAATATTAAGCTAATTATTGGACTTGCTACAGGTAACAACATTTCCAAAGAAGCTGGTATAGACAAAGAAAACACAAGTTCCTAGGAATCAAAATGCACCTGAATATTCAAATTGCTTTAAAAGTCTGAAGTCCTTTGTTTCTTTTTGACTGCTGCAGGGGAGAAGGGATAGTGTTGTTGGAAGGAAGGGGAGTTCCTGGCTTGTCCACGCTGCCTGGCTGAGTGAGCTCTGCCACGAGCAGATAGGACTGCGCACAGTACGTACCATGGGGCTCCTGGTCAGCCAGTTCCTGAGGAACATACACGCCTCTTGCATGCAACAGCAGTAAGTTCACCTAACTCACTGCTGACTTCTGTACTGAACACGCTAGGCCCACTCAAAAAAATCTGCTAAAATGAAAATATTTTCCCTGGCTTAGAGATCTCCCAGTTTACTTCATATGGGAGAGAAGATTTTCAAGAGCACAACAGCAAACTTAAGTGCTTATCTTGCTTCCTCTACCTTAAAAAAAAAAAAAACTCACTCTCTCCTGTGATAAATAAGTTCAGATTTTGCAGCAATTTGTTTATTTGAAACATCAATTCACATTTACTCTATCTATCTGGGGTAGTGAGGTGACAGCAGGGAAGGAAGCAAGCTCTTCAGAATTACATCCCCCCCTTTTTTTTTTAAATGATCAATTGCTAATTTAATATTTTTTCCAATAGCCTACAAATCTTGGAACCACCAGCTTGTCCAATTTTGCACAGCAATGCTTATTCAGTTCTCCCTAGTTCTAATCTAATCTAATGCAATCAGTCACGTCTCACCCTTGTGTAAGGTTTCCAAATGACAGTCCCAGGCCCAGACAGTCCCAAAAGTGTTCTGTTTATGCATGCTTCATATTTTTCCACCAGGGTGCTGGGCTTACTCAGCACACTATTTGTGAAAAGCTACCCTTAGCCATGACACAGCTTCAAGAGTAAGGTGCACCAAAACTGCTCCTTCTCTAACTGTTGCCAACCTCCCATGAAGCAGGAGAACAAAATAAGACTTTGTAGGTTGCAATGACAATGTATATTACTTTTCTATGCCATATCGCTGATTTATTTTAACTAACTTTTCAATATGAAAGACATTCCTAGTATGATTTTAAAAGTAGGCCAGATTTCTTTAAAAAAGATAGATAGAAAATGTGTAACAGGTCTATTTCCCCTCCCAGGAAACAGCACATAAAATCGAAGCAACTGCTATCTAGTTACTCAGCAGTAACATCACTTCACATTAGTAGAGGGTATATCTAATGTGTATGGCACATATATTTTTAACATCAGGAATTTACTCTGTTGAAACGTTGGTTCCCTTTCAAAGGGAAAGGTGAGCTCAAACTCATGGCCATGACTAAGTCAAAGAGGATGAAATAAGGATCACAGTACTGAACAAAGAGCTTTGTAGCTGGTCACCAGCACACAGCAACACGGAGGGGACACGGCCTTTCAGGTACTAAGCACGATGGACAGTTTCTGAATTTAAGTTTGCTGAAAACATAAGCAGCTTGTTTGAGTGCTTATTTAGATTCCTAGAAATAGGGCCCCATCTTCCCCCCTCCCCAAACAATTAGGTTGTCTCAAGGCAGGTCCACGCACACAGACACCTAAAGGCAGCAAATTTGGGGGTTCCGGCTTTTTCACAAGACTTAGAAAAAGTGATGATTTTTGCACCCTCTTAATTAACAGATTTTGTTCTTATCTATCTCACATGCACAGTTAATTTTATCACTATCTTCTATAGTACAGTACCTGATTGTTTTTAAACAAGGCAATTTACAATTTGTGCAGTTGAAAAATATAGACATTTGGCTTCTGTCACATTTTCATAACATTCTCAATTATACAATAATACTCTCTCTTTTTGTAAAGATTACAAAAAAATTTTTAGATTACTAAAAAATTAAAAATAATGTGAATGCCTTTGTAATAATACTTGTTTTTCTAGCCCTGTAACCAAGGTGGAAAAAGATAACAAGCCTTTAAAAGTAGTATTAAGTTGCATTTAATAAAAGCAACAGGGAACATATTCCACTGAGTACATTCAAGTGTATGATTGTACAATTACCAGAATGTAATGTTAAGTTACATTAGTGAAATATTAAAGTTCCAACATCCCCCCCCAAAGGTACAGTAAGCAACATTAAAAAACACGTAAAAATATGTTCCTGTTGGAATTGTAAGAATGCTACAGGGTGCCCAGGCTATAAAACATGCCATAGAAATCTGAGTGCCAAGTATGTTTTACTTATTTGCATAGCTACAAAGTCCACAAATAGAAAACAACTACTTAAGTTTTATTCAGCTGAACTAATGAAGAAAACTTAACTCCTTGACTGAGATAACACTTGGTTTTGTGTATTCCCATGCAGAGATTGCAGGAGATATTACAGGGTTTGGCCTCAGCACAGTGTGAAGGCAGAAAAAAAAGGCTGAAAAGCTAGCTGCTTAGTCGCTGCTCCGCCAATACCATGCTAAATTATCACTCCTGTCTCTACATCTACCCTGACCCAAGCAAACACTGTGTAAGCAGCATGGCTTCATCATTATTGCTTGTCTAGTTTTTCGCCTTCAGCCAACCTTGATCCTGGAGCTGTACCCTCCAGATGCGATCTTCTCCTCTTTAACGAAGAAGGATTCTATACATTATATTCTTATGAGCAGGGATGCTCTGTCTGGGATTTCCTCAATAGAGCCATACTTGAAAATAGTACACAAAGCACGGACATTAAGCCTGAGCTTTCAGAAATCAGACTTACTATATTTGCTCTGTATTCCTTGTCTGCACATGTACATAAATCCAGTGTTCCAAGGATTCACCACTCACGCAGAGCATGGCTGTACAGCTCTATGGACACATTTAATCTTGCTGACCTCAGCCTTCCAAGAAAGATGCTGGCAAACAGATATTCTTCACTAGCTAGGAGAGAACTATCAGAGATCCAGGAGCTCTGTCCTTCATCTCTACAGCAAAGAGATGGAGACTTACAACCATGGTGTATAACTAACTTAGAGAAAAATGATACTTTAAACAGACCTATATAAGTGCAGCATGGCTTAACAAAAGTTTAGTACAAACTTAGGTCTTCAACTTCCTTTTCTGTTAAAAGTCCTAAACTTTTAGAACTCTGCTAATACAGTCTGTTTGGGTCATCACTATTAAATGAGTAATAATGTCTTTTAAAAAAAAGTATATAACCAATCAACAATCACTAAGTATCCTAAATGCAATAATACTAATCTTTAATTCTTAAGCAGAAAAAAAAAACACCCATATTTCACATTTGGCCTGCAGAATTCAAGTTCTTTGTGATTGCCATGTTGAGTTTTTTAGTCAGAATTCCTACAAAATTTGAATAAAAAGTGACTGCTATAAAAATAAATGTCAATGGAACAATTATATTATTGATAGAGAATCATTATGAGAGCACACAAAAACAAAAGCCTTGTTGGCTAACAAGCTATATCTTCCATCTGGCACATAGATATAATAGGAGGTGGAGAGACAAGAACATTTTTGAACAGTTTGACTAGGCAGAAAGAACCCAGGAGAAACTCCTAGAAATATCAGAAATGTGTATTTAATGCAGGGATACTGATGAGCACTTGTGTTCAGTTATCCATGACTTACAATTCAGTGGGAAATTTCTACAAAAAATTTGACTAGGTATAGATCGTAAAGCAGAAGACATGGTCTGACCCTAACTCTACCAGAAACTTCCTGCGTAACCTCCGACAACTCAATGGGGTACAGCTTCTGAAAGTGTATTCGAATATCTTGGTCCTTAAGCTTCTCCAGCCTTTAGCCTCTTTGTGTTCTAGTTTCCCCCCATCTCTAAAACGGGAATATTGCTACCTTTCTCCTCCTCCAATGGAAGGAACATCAAGAATTGTGGGAGAAGTTCATAGATACTGAGATGTTGGGGGCTGCAAGGACTAAAAGTTACATAGAATTGTAGTTATATGCTCTTTTCCAAGATCAACTGAGAGCAATTTTAGAAAAAGTGTCAGGTGTTACTTTCATCTTAAACTGTATGCCTATAGAAGGCACTACAGCTATCAAAAGAATACTTGGGTTATAACCAAGTCACCTACAACTCTAGAAGCCATTGTTAAAAAAGAACAGACTTACAGGTCATATGAGAACTTCCTCTGAAGGTTAGTCTGGTTCTTCTGAAACCAGTAAACATCCAGCTGTAGCTTTCCATGTTCTGTCTGTAAATATTTCAAGTGTTCTGACCAAAACAGGATTAAATATATATATATATATTTTTTTTAACAATAGAAACATCAAATAACACATCTGATTGATAGCAAGCACACTTCAACTCCATCCATCACATTCATTGTATTTTGTAGACAAATACGTAGACAATTGCGGAACTTATTCATCATCAAAGATGCACAGGATATGATAAGACTCAATAAGCTTTTCAGCCTAACATATACTAACAAAATCTGCATAACCTAGATTTTGACCTCCTTTTCTTCATAAGGAATACTCTAGCTTGTTTGCAACCCCTGGCTCTGCTAGGTTTCAGCCCTGGAAGTCTTAATGTCTATGAAAGACTAATCGCAACATAGTATGAAATACCATTCATGTTTATTAAACACAAGCTTACAATTCTTCCTTGAACAATATGCAATTTACAACTATGTTCCTCAAAAACAGAGCAGTCAGTCTGTGATATAGAGTTAGTTTGTTTTGAAACATCATCCATCATGCTATAACACTACAATTTCCTTGTCCCTGACAGAAAGCTTTGCGTGAGGGTATCAAAAGAACTAACAGTATATTTGCCAGTTTATAGAACTTACTGATCAGTTCCCCCAGACTTTGAAGGCATAAATTGCTAGCAATAATTTTGAAGCACCAACATGAATTGAAATTGATTAGGCCAAGTTTCCTTGCTCAATATATAAGTTTGCAAATTCCCTCAGTGCCAAAATGCATAACTCAATCACCTCAGCGAAAAGTGCAAGAACATGCTACAAAAGGTAGAATGAAGAATAAATATATTAACAATACATAAAGAAATTCATTTTATTTCATATTATTTTCGATCATTAGCAGTCAAGGGTCCAGAGTCCTACATGGGCAAATTCCTCTTGCATTGAGGCAGATGCAGACTGACCCTTCACTGAATTTGAACTCTGCACACACAGGGTCTAAGTCACAGCAATTCCCGAACTTTCCCCAAAAGGAGGCATTCTGAGAAGGCTCTGGATTAACACAAATCTTAAAAAGAGGGGCCTAAAAATCCAATACAAGTGTGATGCAGAACTGTATTAAGACATACCTTGTAGACTCTGTATCAATCGCTCATTTGTTGTGATGTTATTCATCAGTGAGGCCTGAAAGGAGCAAAACAGGAAACAATGCTTTGTTTGCAAAGGGTATGTATTTCCATTAATGTTATAAACAACACTGACCAAAGTACTTGTAACAAGATTTTTCCCTCACGAAGGGCTGGATTAAAGACAAACACAAAAATTGCATTAGCTGCTGTAAAGTTTATTATTACAAATAACATACACTCATTCTAACCCAGATTTACCAGTGATCCAAAAAAAGAAAAAAATCATTAAATATCACTGCACTTAAATGAAAAGGGGAGGAATTCAAAGAGTCCACAGTTAAAATGGCTTGCTGCTCCGTTCTGGTTTAATCTCATGTTCATGATCACAGTCAGATTTACTGTATTAATCAAGCAGGCCTTGAAGGAAGAATACAGTGTAGTACAGCTCATTTCATCAACCACTCTCTCACCATGGAATCCATACATTTGCATTCAGGGATGCAAGGATGAGGTATCAAATCATTAGTCACAGAACAAGCATAAACTAACTCTATGAAAGCAATGTTAAGCATTGCATCATTTTTCCTAATTATCCTCTCCCTTCATTTGATAAGCAAGTGCTGGAGTACCATTCTTCCATTCCCTCGCTTCTCTCTCGCTCTCTAGAGTTTGGAAGAGGCAGTCAACATATGAATGTGTGTTGCCCCTTTTTCCCTCACTTCCCTTTTACCCATCCGCATATACACATACATCAAGACACATGAATATTCACAGGACCAAAGTAAGTCTAAATGAAAATAATTCCTCTGAGCCAAACACCAAGATAACTCAGATTCACATTTAGTATTTAGAAAGTCTGGTGCAGAAGATTCTTCTTAAGACTACAGAAAGGATAAGACCCCCTGACCTTTCAGAGATGATCCAGTTTTAAGAACATGTATTTCTTATTCTTCATTATAATTTCCCAGCCATCCTTTTCCCAGGAAACCCCAATATTCTGCAGAGGTCTGAGATCAGACATCAGGTCCCCAGTTTCCCTAAGTTGCTGCTCAAGTACTGATAAGTACATATGTCCACATCACTTTAATATAAAGAAATGCCCACGTTCACGCAGTTTGCTCAGGTCACTCTGAGACACTGACAACACTGTCAGTTAGTGCCAATTTTCATGAAGACTACAGTAATTAGTGCCAATTGATTAGGAGAAGGAAAGCATTCAATTAATACAAGTAGGTCAGCACAGAGCAGAAAAGTGGATTTGTCCTTTATTTGTCCTTGAAAAAGTCCCAATTCAAAGCAATGGTCATTCATGTCTTGATGAAGAAGCAGCCATTTTCAATCCAATAAAATGAAATATTCCTATGCACAGTGAACACTACTGTGAAAGATAAAGAGCAAAAGCTTTGTTTCTTTGTTTAAAAAAAAGTTAACATGAATAAAAATATCTACTAAGGAGGGATTAACACCTCTCCTTCTCCTTCCTCATAAAAAGGGGAAAAAATGTTCTGGATTTGTTTTTTGTTTATTGGAGAAAGGAAGTTATCGTTTCAATGTAGGTGCTAAGTTTTGTTAGTGCCTGAGCAATGCAATCAGCTTGTTCCATGATTATCACCCTCAGAATTTCCTGTATTGGCATTAGATAATCTTGGCTATTATCAGAAACCATCACTGTACTAAAAGAATCAGCATTACAGATGACATGGCAATTTTAGGTTCTCACATAATTTTTGAAATCCCTGAATACTGAGACCATTTATTTCATTTTGACAGTGAAATGGACAATTGTTAAATATTTTGTTCATTAGGATAGTAATGACTGTGACTATCTGAAGCAGAGAAAATAAAATTATTTGCCATTTGAAAAGGAAAAAAATTACACAACTTGCTCTTTATGGAGTGCATACAAAAATCCCTTTTGGCAATGCCACACCAACCCCTCTCCTGAATTTGAGACTAAAAGACCAGGAAGAAATCATGAAAAGCTACTCAGCTTTTTAACTTGAGCAGAAAATGTTCAATAATTTATGGGGTATTGTTCCAACTGCTGGTTTCCTATCTGACTATATTAATAACTTAAGGCTTTCCATTCTTCTACTTGTTACACAAATATTAACTAATCTTTACCTCATGGCTGTGAACTAGGCAGTTACTATTTTTCCTCAATTTTTTGGAGGTAGAGAGAGCAGACTACAGGAAAGCAGACAGCAAATACAAGGCAAAATTCAGACCCAAGAGGCAATTTAGATTTGAAATCTCATTCAGCCCACAAAACAATACCTATGATCCCTGGGAGTGAGAATTCAGCATTTGGAAACTCAGTATATCACCATATCAAATTCTGATCTCTTACAATATGGCAATAACTCTGTAACACTGAACCAGCTTATTACATTTGCCAACACATCTTGCAGAGAAGTCCTTCTGACTATCAGAGTGGAAAAGCCACTCTCCTGACTGGAGTCAATGTTGTGGACAGCAAGTCTTCAGAAGCCAGATCAAAAGCCATACTGTCATTAGCAGTGACAGAAAAATCTTGCTCCAGCTGGACAGCAGATGTTTTAACAACTGCCAGAGATTTGTTGACAGGTATGACAAAGAAATGACTTAGAGCTGCAGGGCAACAGGGAGTGGGTGAGAGCAAATACGCCCTTTGTGGCTACAGGCTTTTCAAGACCATCACCATATTTAATTAAAACCCAAACATCTGGCAGTGTAAACAAAATAGAATTATATGACATGAAAATCCTAACTATAAACCATGTACAGATACATAATGTACTTTCTGTTTTCTTTTTTGTGAATTCATTTAGCTATGAAGAGAGGTAGGAATGTTTCAATAGTTAACTCTTAAACTACACATACTCTGAATCTCCACTCTTAGGGTCCCTATGGTTTACCTAGTTCTAGATTAGCCATTTTTTCCTCCATCATATAAAATACATTTTAAAACAGAGGTAATCATCTAGACCTCTACTGTACCAGTTATGAGTAAATGGACAGATTTCTCTTGCTAATTTAGAAACATCATATTATGGCAAGTAGAGCAGTCGGGGTGGGGAGGGAAATGGACTTGTTTTTCCTTAAAGACTTTTTGAAACTAACCAGAAGATGCAACGTTGTTTGGTTTAAAAGCAAAACCAAAACACCCATAGGCACCTCTCTTCCTTTTCATAGCAGGCTTTTTTCTCTCTTCCCCCTACCCACTGTCGTTTCTTTTGAGCAGAGCTGATCTCAGCATACTGATAAGTATTTTGTCTCAGAAGGCTGTGCTGGGAGTCGAAGTTTTCCCAGAGAGGGGAATTTGAGAACAGCTGTGGCCATTGTTAAAAGACAGTGAGCAACAGGGCAGTGACATATTTCTCACATAACATACAAAGCCTGGTGCCCCTCCTCAGTAAAACAAGATCTGGGCTTGGGAAGAATTACATAAAGCCAAAGAAAATGACAAATTGCAAAAGTATGTTCTAACAATAAAAAAAAAAAAAAAAAGACAGACAGATTACATGTATTGTTCTCCAGTTAGTCTTCAAAAAGGCTATCATAGCTGCTATGTATATCCCAGAAGCTATGGGTCCTGAATAACAACCAGAAAGGATATTGTTCTCCTTTAGAAAATTGTTCACAGATGAGAAACATCCCTTTTGCACTTCTGATTCCTTATCTGTTGTTATTGAGAGTTCATGTAAGCTCTCTTGAGCTCCTCAGCCTGTTTCTGTATGGATTTCCAGAAGCCATTTGCTAAAGCTAAAACCAGACTGGTGATAAACATGTTTTAATTATTCTCTTAGGTCTGGGAATGTATATGACAGTAATTTCCCAGGATTACATCACCTGAATGAATTGAGAGCCCATGGGGTATTTCAGGCTCCATCTATCTCCCACCCCTGTGCCCTTGTTCTTACAGTGGCACAGAGACAATTTTACCAGAAACGAAGACAGATTATTTCAGACTGGTTGTCATGTTGCCACTGAGACTGACTTTAACCTGTAGAGTATTTTACTGGTGTATTACTTCGGTATTAAACTAAATCAGTGGCATAATTATTCTGTATTTTGTGAGCAGATGAGTAATAACATACAGTGAACAGTGAAGAACTGTATTTAAAATGGGTTTTGAATGTTACTTGAGAGTTACTTTTGGTAAGGAGTCCCCTAGATTGTGAAGGTTTGTTTCCTTATAGATTCCTCTATAACCAGTATTTCTCCCTGAAAAAGTTTTTCAGAGACAGACCATTCACTCCTACATATCAGTGGAATACATTTTCATTTTTCTTTGTTAAGAACAACAACAATAAAATTTAAACAAAATCCCTTTTATCATTCAAATATCTGTCTAGCTGCAATTAAATAGTTTTATTACTTGAAAAGAGTCAAGAGACTCAGGGGTTTGGATATGCATTCATCACTCCTGGACTAGGCAAATATTTACTGTTATTTCCCCCTCAGGGATTAAAGGTTCAGTTTAAGGGCTCAGTTTCCTGTAACCAGAAAGGGTGGCTTTCACTACTTGCCTCCCAAGAATCTGAGATTCCACTGGAATCCACGGAGCAAATAAATAAATAAATAAATAAATAAATAAATAAATAAATAAATGTGTGCATATATACCTATACATGGATACACACACACACACACACACAAAGAAGCTCATAAACAGTCTTTTCACAGAACCACAGAATCGTTTAGGTTGGAAGGGACCTCTGGAGATCATCTAGTCCAACCTCCCTGCTCAAGCAGGGTCCTCTAGAGCATATTGCCCAGGATCACATCCAGACAGGTTTTGAATATCTCCAGGGAAGGA